AATATGGCTGGTAATCTTAATTTTTCGTTATGACAATCAAAGAACCGCAAGTTCGAAAATAGGCTAAAGAACTAGAAAAATGCGTCTTCAGTGATTTGTGAACCGTACAAAAATAAGCCTATGATCTGCATACGCGATTGTTAATTTTTGCAATTACCCTCGAGAATGCTCCATGTAGTTGTCAGTAGACTTAAGAAATCTTGTGAAAATCAATCTTGGACTATCAAGCTTTTACCATCGTAAGAATTTAGAGAAGAAGAAGAAGATTTTCGCTTTGTCTTGCAACAAGCTATCGCTCGCTTTGTTATCAAGGATACGATGAGTGATAGTAAACACGATCTATTAACAAATTTTCAAAATTTTGGTGGAAGGTAATGTTCGTAGGCGTAGAAAGTTCGATATGTAAGAAAATTATATAATTTTTTCTTTTACTTTATCTTTCCTATTTTTGTTTTCTTTTTATTATTTAATTATTTACTTATTTATTTATTTATTTTTTGACAGCCATTAGCTTATACGTCCGCTTATCAATTCTTATGTCAATTGAAACTTTTCTATTAGTCGTTAAATTAAATGTTATGCATACAATAAATTATTGAATGAGTGATTTATAATTATTAACATTTCAACAAACCATAAAATAGTGTAACAAATTTTTATTACAATTTGCAGAAAACTCTTTCAATCGAGAAAATGAATTTGTTATAATACATATATATATATATATATATATATATATAAGTAAGTTTTTACTTAATATAAAATAATGTGTGGGCTTGATTTCAGTTTAGCTAAAGTTAGCATTTATTTTTATTTATTTTTATACGATATGACTTGGAAAAAAGCAAAAAAAAAAAAAAAAAAGCAAAAATCAGAGCAAAAAAATCAAAATAGTTTTTAATTTAATACTTTGAAAAATAAAATTAATGTTTAACTAAAGAAAAGCGAACACGACTGATTGCCACTCATACAGTTGCCACTAATGTCAAGTGTATATTAAAATTTATGGTCATATGAGAAGAAAAAGGAACTGTTGTTGCCGTTTGGCTTTTTTTTTCCTTTTTTTTTTTTTTCTTTCATTTCGTAAGAGATTACAAAAAAAACAAAAAAAAATAGTTTTCAACACAAATTACAAGCTTTGCCGTTAGGGTCACACCTCTGACAAGCACAACCACAAATAAGTGCCGTGACACTTGCAGTTTCTCAGTTTCAGGCAGCAATGAAATGTTATATTAAGCCTGTGGCGCTAATTTGTGGCAATTTATTGCATACAACCAAATAAATAAAAGTAAAGTTGAAAAAAGAAAAAGAAAACGAAAAAAAAAAAAAAAAAATAATAGAAAAAAATTATAAAACTAAATACCGAAGAAATAAAATATTTATACCACGCGTGCACGTTAACTCGCAATCTGACTGACTGACAATCTTATATCAAATATTGGGTCACAACTTTATAAGTGGACAAAAGACAAAATTACTGACTAGCTTTTTGACTTCTTAGCTGACTGACTGACTGACTGACTGACTGACTGACTGGCTGACAATCTATTTATGTCTACTTGTTTTGTATGGTAGACATGTTCGCAAACAAACGAGAAAAATTTACATTTGACAAGTTCGTGCCTAACATTTATGTCACTGGCCAACGCCAATCATTCATTCTTTTTTTTTTTTCCTTTTTAGGAACACCCTTTAAGAGTGTATAAGGGTATGCAATGCTTTTCATTTGCTTTGTAACGCTTGATAATATGCGGAGTACCAAGCACATGGCTTATATATATATTTTTGATCAGAAAAACTCGCATCATCAGCTTCTACATCTCGCTTTATATCTTCCGTATTCACGCCAGTTCGAACGTTAACTTATTTATCCATCTATATTCCACGCGCCTGGATCATCTGTCTGAATGTCCGTCTATATGTCTATCCATATGTAAGTCCATTGACGAGTTAGCTTCTTGATTTGTGTACCGTTCGCCTTTGCCTTGAGAATAAGACAGTGACGCCAAAAATGATGCAAGCAACAAGTGGATGCGAAAATAAGAAACATATTTTTAAAGCAGGCCTAAGCAAACCCAATGGCACAAGAGAGTCCAGAAATGCGATGCAATGTAGCGCACACCTTACAAGTACAGGTTCGCAGTTAAAGGATAATGCAAATCGATTTCTAAACACCAAGCGGGATAAAATTTCTCCTTAACAGAACGAGCTTACCAAAGGTCGTTCGATTTTTCGCACGCTTTCTGTTACCGGAACGTTTTGCTAAAAACCAATCTTTTTTAAATTAGGCCTAACCTAGTCCTAACGACTGGAGAAATTTGCGTATTATGAAACAAAATTTGAACTTAAAAGACATAGTGAAGCGTACCTAATTTTATGCAATCGATTGAAAGCTTGTCTTCGACAAGCTTAAATTTCTTGAGAAACTTAAAAAAAGCTAACGAAATGCGATGATGCTTTCTAAACAAGAAATTGCGAACATGCCCATAACCTCTCCTTTCGCTAGTTAGAATGCATGAAAAATATTGTTTAAGAAAATCGAAGTAAAATACGCTATATACAGCATATACGAAGAGTTGTATAAAAGTTAGGTAAGAACGAAGAGTTCGAACCCGTGATTTCACGTAGGCAATGAAAAAATTATCATCTTAAGGACTATGTGTACACTCATACCGGTCTTTTTCAACGCGAGCCCCTAAAAGTCCATCCTTTCCGTCGATGTATCTCTCCGTAAACCAATCCGAAAACCCATCGATACGCTCCCCATTAACAAAACCGTTTTTTATATATCCAAGTCTTTATTTTCATTCGATTTGTCTGTCCATATGTCGCTCTATACGTTTCTCGGTCTGCCGTTTACTTGTCTACTTGATATAAAGATTTTCGCAGACTCATTTAACTGCTTGTCAAACTGAAATAATTTAAAAAATAAAAAATTGCGAATGTTTTCATTAAATATTTGTTACACGGAAAAATTTGACTTGAAATGTTGAACAAATTTTTACCAGATATAAATAAGAATTTTATATAAATATGTTAATTAATTTATTTTTTTTTTTTTAACAAATTTGCTTACAATGGAATCGTGATCGCTGCATGCAGAGCGAATTAATGTCTAAAAATGTATCAGCTTTTGTCTATAGTTGATCTTGTTTTGATTGTGGACTTTATGTAAATCATGCACCTGTTTATTAATGATTTATATGAAAATCTTTGAAGCATTGCGACAATGATCAAAATAATAAAATAAATATACGAAAAAAAAAGAACAATAAAAAGACAAAATTTACGCATAGTGCAATAATGTTAGTTTAAAAAAAAAATCCATAGTCCATAAATAATTCAACAATCTATTGCGACATTTTTCAATTCTGTCGAAAGTAACCGCACGCTTCGAAAATGTGCTTAAATTCGAAAAAAATTCTTTATATTTCGCATAACCAATTCGGTCAAAGAGGATAACAAGACTTGTTAAAAAAACATTCGAGATGCTTACGATAAAACTGCTATGGCAAAATTAACGCAAATGGCTTGGTCTGACCTGCTAATCACTGATACGTTCGGTGAAGTTGTTAAAAAAAATGAGGGAAAACAAGCACATTTCATTTTATGCTATAGCTGAAGACGTAGACATTGATCAAAACAAAATTTCGAACCGTTTGAATACCATTGGGTAAAAAAGGGGGCTTGGTATTTGAGCATCATAATGTCCTTGCAAGGGAAAATTCGATGGATCGAATTTCCAGTTGTGAGCTCTCACTAATGGGAAAGCAACTTGAGTCATACCCTACATCGCTTGTGCTATAAAGGTATATTAAGTTTGTGAGTATGTGATAGAACAGAACCATTCATTATGCCTCTCCGTTTCTCTGTATATTCATCTTATAGAATGCAATTTCTGGGATATTTTGATGAAATTTGGTACATTGACGTGTTTTGGCCCAAAGATGAACTCTTTTGGGAAGCGTTCGGATTCGACCGCTTTTTTGACCCATTTCCCATATAACATTTTGATTTGAAAAGTTATTATATAGATAACTGTTCGGGGATGTAGTGTTTTTACTTTTTTTTTAAGATGAAAATGTGTCACATACGAAAACGATCGTGGTTCAAGAAACTGCACAAGCGAGGTGCAAAGTCCTTATCGACGGCGCATAACGTAAAGCTCTATGTCTGATGAGATTCAAAAAGCGACAAGTATCATTCGCTACTCCAATCCCGGTAGACTATTGATTTCCCCCGCGCTTGTCAACAACTAACGCGATTAAAGGATAAATATGACGTAAAGCTTTCAAGACGTCGTCTTTAAAAACCTCAAGGCTGGATAGCATACATTTTTCATAAATCGGCGAAAATTGTAAAAGCTCGACTGGGAAGTTTCGATGCCTACATAGGAAAGCTTAAAACTTGCCTTGACCGACTGTTATCTGTTTCGCTTTCTGCAAAAGTCTCTTAATTGGCAAGGCGGTCCTCACAAGTAGAAATCATTTCGCTCCGCTTTTCGCCCTCAAATTAAAGAAATTTTTTATACGGGCAATCGCTTAGGAGATGTCTCCTATACGTACATGTATTACCGTGATGGTCAGAACGAAGTGGTGACGAGAGGTATGAGAGGCTGCCTGCTAGGCAAGTGTGATGGCTGCACAAAGAGAGCAGCAAAGAACATCTACAGCACTGAGGACATGCCGACTTGGTAATCACATTTCTTATCTTCTTGACTATGCGGTGTACACCACTGATAGCAAAATTCTTTTACCAGCAAAATGGGAACAGTTTTTGGGGGAAAATTCTCTATATTTGCCGTAACAAAGTTGGAAAAGAATTAATAAAGTAAGAGAAACATGTGCTTGCATGTCTGGTGTAGTAAACGTTTTCTAAGCGCCTTTGATGCTATATCTTTAAAATATTAAATAAAAAAAACTAAAAAAAGTAATTTTTTATAAATCTCTAATAAATGTTTTCTTCATTTTCGAATTCATTCGAATTCTTTTTAATTGCAGTCTATGGGAAACATGTCATTACCCGGTCTTGCTTCTACGAGGACATGGATGATCCGGCTGATAAGTGTGCCCGCGACACCACCTCATCCTACATAAAGACCACATTTTGTGAAACTTGCAATTCGAACGGTTGTAATGGTGTTGGTGATCTAACACCGTACGTGACGTTAATTTTAATATCCGTTCTATTAATGAAGTTCATTAAGTGAATAATTAAGAAAACAAAAATAAAGAAAATAGAAGAAGAAGAAGAAGAAAACTACTAACTAACTAAATAATATAAAAGAAAAGCAAAAATATAATTTGTTGAGTAAACAACAATGTTTTAACTTAATTTGTGTATTGTTTTTTATTTTTTAAGATTATTTTATTTTAAGAAAACGAAACACATAATAATTATACTTAAGTTGTAATGATTTAAACTTTTTTCTACTTATAACTCAGCTTTAATGAATATTTATGTACGTGCATATAAACATACATCACTACAAAAAAAAAAGAAAACAACAACACAACAACAACAAGAACAATGTCTCATTTAGAAATTATTTCTATTTAATATAAATAAATTTATGAAAGAGAAAAACTGAAAAGAAAGAAAATTTAGTTCACGTATATTAAGGGGACAAGAATTGTTAATTGAAATGAACCCCTGAGCCTTAACAATCATTCATTCTGAAGGGCCGAATTTAACGACTAGGTACAAATGCATAAAAGTTACTCATCCGCACATGTAACCGATTAGGCAAGAATCGTAACCACCAAGTGAGTGTTAAATGTCAGTGGGGCAGAGTTTACTTTGGTCGTAACCATAGTGAGTACTCAACCGGTAAAAGTATAACACGTACCACTAGGTTGCGAACACCACCTCACTATTTCTTTCTTTCCTCACTTGTTTCTGATCGTCACCGCCTTATGCGAATAGGGGGACGTCCCTTTAGTGATTTGTAATATGAAAAACATTTACACGGCTCTTTGAAATCTCACGCAACTCCCAGCCTCCTTCCCTTGCAAATCTTTCATCTATAATAAGCATGACAAGGTAAGAACGGCTCCTACCAATCCAGTGTTCGCTCAAATCCCAATGCCATAGAATGTACTTCGGCGTAAGTAAGTGCGCAGTCTGTAAAGGCATAAGGTTCACCTGCGAACCTCCTCCTTATTTCTCTCACTTCTTTCTAACTGTCATCGTATTACGCAAATAGGAAGACATCTCCGCCAAATAAACAGAAACAGTGTTTGTGACCAAATTAAATAGTAAATGAGTGCGTTTTTGTGTCTGTCTTCGAAATGTGCTCAACGTACCTTTTAAAGCGTCATATGTCAACGGAGTAATTGCTTCGAATTTATTTTGTTTATTTAAAAGCCTGTCTATTATTTTATAAGAAATGATATTTTAAAAATGTCCTGAACTAGAAAAGGGCATTTTTAGTTTGTGCGGATGTGCACAACACTTAGAAAGATTCGAATAGCACCACCGAATAGCACCAATGTACCGCCAATATACTAATCCATACGGAATAATTTTCTGAATCGATTTATACTTGTCGGTCCGTCTGTCCGCCTTGTTTTTTGTGTTCAACATACAAGCCGCTACTTTGAAGACATTTTCTTAAAATTTGAAGTATTTTGAAGTTTTTCGATTAATTCTCATACAACGTTATATTTTAAAAACTCATTATATGAACAATTATAGACGGGAACAGGATATTTAATGGTTGGCAGCTATACACTCCTCTTTACACTATAGTATTTTTACACTACGATTCTCCATTGACAATGTCATTGAAACTGAGAGAATCGGTGCTTAGTGAAACACGTTCTAAAAAACGCACCAAAATATATATATATCCCCGATCACGTCAAAACTCGGAGTGGAGTTTATTTCATTCATTCATCAATCCAGCTGATTGTCGCCTGCTCACGATCGCAAACGTACATTATATCACATACATTCCATACATACAACAGATGAAAATGGACTTGATCTATCTAATAGGGGAAGACCTACAACTCACGAGTTTTTAGAAGACTTTGTATACATATCGCGTAAACCATTTAAATATCATTGTAATGAATAAAAAATTTCAGTATAACTTACACACAAAAAAAAATTATATTCTATAGGTTCGCTTAAAAAGACAACGTAAAAATTGTCCCGACTGGTAAACTGACATGTCCATTGTAGTGGTTAAATAAGGTATGAAGAGTTTGCGTTTTATTAAAAGTGTTACTCTTTAAAACTTTGATGTAATAATTATTTTAACATCTTTTATATGTCAAAATACTATCAATCAATCGTTCATTTATTGATTGATTGATCATAAATTTCCTGCTTAATTAAGTTGCAAAGGCTAGAAAGCATTGAATGGACATCGTAGGTCCCTCGTCGTTTCAAGCCTTTGTTTTAACTTAATGTGGTGAGTATGAATGTAAGCCGACGTATGGCGCATATTTTCTGATTTCCTTTTAATTTTTTTTTAATCTAACTTTAGTAACTATGTGTTCATGCTGAGATACTCTTAGGGCTGCAAAAAAGGGCAAATCTTGTAGGTATTGTTTGTTCCGCGCGAATTCCTGTAATATTTCAAAGTGATTGTCTTTTTAAGTTTTATAGCGCCATCTGTTCGCGTGAAAGAATCGATTTTTTAATTACATCATTCCTGCATAATACATGCCTTTCATGACACCAACACATTCATATTTAAATTAACACATACACCACAATCGCAGAAACCTCGATTTAACCTCAAACATTCATTATAATAACAAGTTCTCAACTTTGTTGTTGTTAAGAAATCCATTAACTTTAATGAAAATTTCTTGCCAAAAAAAAAAAAAAACAAAAATTTTTTTTTTTTTTTTATTTTTTTAAATTAAAATGAAAAAAAAATTAAGCTTTTAAGGAAAATAAATTGCCAGACTTTGAATTTTTAACCTCTTAATCGCTTATGGCATTAGAAACATTTTCACACATTCATAAAACTTCATATATCAATAGTTAAAATTTATTTATATTTTTACAATTTGTTTACGCTTTTTTCTCTTTCTGGCTCTGTATCTTTTTGTTTTTTTATTTTTCAATTGCCTCGTTAACCATTTAAGTTAATGCGTACGAGACGTGTTACTCTGATAATATATTAATGTGTGTTGCTGGTTTTTATGTACATATAAATATTATTTGTTTTTGTTTTTTATTTATTTTGTTGTTTTTTTTTTTTTTTGAAAATCTTAAAGATTAATGTCATGATTTGCATACGCAGGCAGCTCAGTGGCAGGTTGTTTGGCAGATATGGAAAAAATAAGAAAAGTGTATTATAATAATCAGCAATAAATGAGTGAGAGAACGCTATAAGCAGTCAAGACCGAATGCATTTAGAAAGTCAGGCTTTTTATACATTACATTACTTGTGGTACAAAGGCATGTTAAGTTGATGCAGATGTTTGCCACACCCAGAAGGGATTCAAATAAAACAATCTTTCTGCTATATAGATCGGTTTGAAAAGAAAATGATTCTGAATCGACCTACTTGCTTGTCTGTTCGTTTGTCCGTCCGTCTACTATTTTTGAGACAGTTTACAGCAGTGAGTTATGTTCTCGAATAAGGGCGAATCCCATTGCAATTGGTTCGGATCGAACCAGCTCTTCACACAAAACAGTTCTCATTAACACCTTAGTTTGAAAAGTCATAGCATACGATACTTTATTTTATGGTGGGGCGCGACTCTCTATAAGCTTACTTGTGTTTTTTTTTGTTTTTTTGGTATTCCTTCAAAGAAATGGAAAGATGTGTCCATGAATATAAAATATGGGTAAACTCTGTGAATATTGTTAGGGAATTTGAAATCTATAAATTCTAATTCTTCGAAATTTCTTTCCCCAGATGTAGGCGAAGAAATTGCTCCTAAAACTTAACATAGGATTGCAGCTTTAAATTAAAAATTTGTATATTTCAAGCTTCTTGTCTCTGCCTCATCTTTTTCAGCTCGAAAAGTCTCGGCCAAAAGGCAAAGACAGATGGACGGGCAAAAGTAAAATGATTCCGGAGCTCTTTCAATTTCTTAATGCAATAAATGCAAAGAATCAGTTCAGCTGTTTCGTTCAACTCCGGGCGCAGAATAATTTACAGAAAGTAACCTAAATCTATAGTTAAACTCTTTTTAATTCAACTGAAAAGTAAAACCGTACGATTTCCTTTCACACGAAGCGTAAGTGTCTTAATTACAAATTCCACATCTCAGCACAGCCACGATTGTTTAAAGAAGCTTATATCTAAGAGCTAATGCTCTTATCACACAATTTGCAAATTAATTACGTGCATAAAAAAAAAAAAAAAAACTGACAGAGACTCTGCAGAGACTTAATTCTTTAGTTAGTAAGTCGAGTACTCTTTTTTAAATGCCGCTACTTTTCAGTTTTTTCTCTTTTTTTCTCATTTATTTCATTGATTTAATTGACAACCACGCAAAATCTTCCTGCTATATACCGTATGAAAATGAAAAAGAAAGTTTTATGGACACATCTATAAGTACACACAGCTCTATGCAAACACATCTGTACACATGCATATCTGCTTATATATACTTTCAGAGCCGTTCGTATTAACTATAACTTAATTCACTTTACGTGTAAACAAACCATGTAACGATGTCGCTTTTTTAAAAAAATGATATCAACTTTCGAGCTTTCTTTCACACTTGTTTCCACAATAACGTGTTAAAATTGTAAAGTATTTTGTAGGTATTTACGCCCCTTTTCAAACATGACCACCTTCGTGGCACGACAATATGGCGTGATGTCAGGCAATTGGCCGACATAAGCTCGTAGCTTTCGCTTATGGTCACAAGCATTCAATTCAATCGTTTGGGCGTCAAGCGCCGCTATAACATAGTAAGCGACCACAGTTCACTTTATTTACACCAAATTTTAAAAGCGCCCTCCAATATTCCTTACAATTTATGTGTTTATATTTACAAGATAACTCATGCCCTGTAGCTGGACACTCCTGCTGTCCATTTTAATATTTTCATGAACTTTGCTAATTCCGTAAAATCGCATCCGTGCGCTTTCACCATTCATTTTTAGATTGCCTTGACTTTGAGAAACTTGTGCGGAACGTGTAGCTCTGCCTTTTAGTTTAACGTAAGTACACGTCCACATATTCCAAGATGCCGGATGAACCAATGGAGTAGGTGACCTTCGTAAAGAAATGCTAGAATAACAATCCAA